ATAATAATTCTGTACTGTTCAATGCGCTAAAGTCTCCTTATCTAGCCAGTTGCAAGTCTCTATACTGTTAAACGCCAAGTATGTGGTACAAGTAAATGTAGTAACTTAGGCTTGATAGCTGCTTCACTAATCTGTTAATATGCAGCGACATCATCAAATAGACTGTTCACTTGACAATGAGCTAAGAAACAGTTTTTATTTATTTCTAATATGCCGTTGAATCATAGGATGTTATCTAATATCCATCATTTCTATGATCAACAACTGCGGTATTTCCACATCTACTTTATAGATATTAAATAACCTACTCCTGTATGCAACTAATTACCGCCAGTGTTCCCTATTCATTTGGTGTGTGTACGCTAAATAAGTCTTTCATAAATTCCCCCCAAAATGCCAAACTGTCTAGTGTTACAAGTGTTAATAAGACCTGCTTCCATTGTTTCGAATCAAATAACGTATAAAAGAACTAAGGAAAAGTTACTCTTACTTAATCTCCAATCTTCATTTAGAGCCTTTAACGATCCCAAACAGTTCTCCTATAAACACAGTAGACGTACTTTAGATGCAGCTGCCGTCTTGCTTCACAACATTTCCTCCAGTATAGACAATGGGGCTAAATTCGCTGCATATTCCTAGATTACACATCGGCTTTCGACTCAGTACCTAGAGATATTCTGTTAGATAAGCTTGCTGAAACCCAAACTGAGTGTTGGATTGTTAGACGGCTTCATTTTTATTTATCAGGGAGAAAGCAGTACACTGTAGGTCAGGGGGAAGTCGTCCATTACCAATTGCAACTGATGTCAGCTCACGATTAAATCCTCCAAGCAATTGCATTTTTGTTTGACGAACTTAATGCACGAAAGCATGCGAAAAGAACTTTTTCAAGCACGCCGACGATCTAACTATTTTAGTGTCTGTTAACTGCCAGCTACACTGTACTAAGATGAACAGCTCTCTATTAGGAGTCAGAAAATGCTCTTATACTGAATCCTTCGAAATGTCGGACTTATTTTCACTTTCCGATGTAAAGGAAAGTTAGGTGGTGTTAATTCCTATGACCGTTGCAAAATTGATAACAGTGATATGGAAATCAAGTCTGACTTTAAGTACATCGGACTGATTCATCACAGCGTATTGGCCCTAAATGTATGCCACATGCAGGCATATGTTTATGAGCTAGGTATGCAAATCAAGGTAAACGCTTGTACGGCACATTCATTATTTATAAAAGTAACTCGTACGTAAGAACTATGGTTTGATCAGTTATACAACGTTCAATACATTCAGACACAACTAACCTACGATGCCTACTTCTATGATGCATTACCTAAAGCTACGTAGTTACCTTAAAGTGGCTTCTGCTGAAGGTAATCTCCTATAGCTACTACCTTAGTGTGCAACTTAACGTTATCTTTGAAAAACGAAGTAATAGCGGAAATTCTGAGAACTTTCGCGGTGAAAAGATCGTCTCCTACTCCAAAAAATTAAATATACCCTAGTCTCCACAAAAAAATTCAGAGGTATCCACCCTATCACCTCAAACGATTCACTATTTGCAGTGATTTAAAAAGTAAAAATAAATTTACCGACGGCAGCTTGCTAATGATTTCTGGATATCATAATGTGCCGTGAGGAAAGCGCTATATCCATGCGGTTATAACAGTCAGATGCGCGAAATTAGTCAGAAACACAACAAACACGATTCTCAGTCACAGAACATCCTACTTCGCTACCTAATCGTATAATCGTATCAACGGATATTTCGCCAAAGAAAAGAAGACTACTGGTTCAAGGAAAATTTATTTAGTTTTTTTTAAATACCATGGACATCAGTGTTTATAGCCACGGAAAAATCACAACTTCGAGGAAATCACCGATCGTAGATTACAACCCGAAATTTCATTCTTCCCAATTTATGTCTTACCTTCAACTGGGATAGATCGTACACTCACCAGATCGTTGTATTTTATCCGCTTTGAAAACCGTTTTGCAACCCATCAAATGGATGTTAACACTGGCTCTATTACGGGCACTCTTAGTTCATGTATTTGGATCTAGTACACCAAGCCATAATAAGCATAAGTAACACTTACCCTTAAGGATTCCAGTTTGTTTTAGTTCCCCATAATACACACAAGCACAACAGATTCATACTTTTCATGCGGCTCAACCTTATTTGACTTAGATTCTCTCACAATACGTTTTTTTAAGTGATAGCAGACACACTGATGGTATATTCACGTTCTCAAAAAGCTTCAAAGCTTTTTCATCTTCAACCCAGGTTCTAAATTCTCCTGGATTATGTTCTTTGAAAACCTTAATAATAATATATATTTCACATAAATTAAGCATTTACATGATTCACATACCGTTTGTACAGGCATGATCATATTAGACAAGTGCAGTCTGAAATTGAACACTTTTATGAAATTAAAATTTGGAAAATGAATAGAAAACTTTACAAGAATAGAATATAAGGTTTTGGTTTAATTCTAAATTATAATATTTAATGCACTCATAGTGAGTCAGATTCATGCGGGAATTATGAAATTTTGCGTTAATGGAATGTAAGAAGAGAGGTGATGTACATGTGCTGGAGTAAGCCACACTGGATCCAGACCGTTATTTTTATCATTTTATCAATCAATAAGAGTTCGAAAGTTTATAAAAATCCACATCAGATGGTAAGTACAGCATTATATTGGTATTAGCAGATAGAAGGGACAAATTGGTCGCAAAGTTAACTTTGCGATGTTGAACAGAATTCAGAATGGAATTTGTTCCGTTGTTCATCGTAAGTGCTAACAATATTCTGGATACCGCTCAAGTAATACAAATGTAGAAAGCAGGATTACTGTTCATTAGCAGTGCTTCAGTGCAATACCTTCGAGAAGTGAAGAAAACAGAAGCAGCCAGCAGATAATGATAATTTAAGTAAACAATATGCGATAACCGCAGGGTTTATTCTCCTTTTTTATTACTAGGAATTCCTAGTCATTGAGTTTTATAGCGTTACATACTAACGGTTAGTTTAAGTTTATAGTAGTAAACAACAACTGAAGTATAGAATAACAATAAAATATAAAGTAAAAATTAGGGCGAAACGAATTATGGTTTTCACTCTTATATAGGGTAATGTTGGGAATAGTAACTGAAGAAGTGAAATCCAAATGCCAAAGTACATAAGTTATTTAAAAGAAAAGAGGAAGTATATTAATACTGATTTATGCTGTTGTTCTGATTTATACAGTTAGATGTCCTCCTGAAGTAGAGAAATCGTACCATGAGCCATTTTTTCAAAGAGTTTGTACGCAAGCTGTGACATACAGGCAGCATTTATTTTTTATTTTATTTATTAATAATTTTTTTTTGAAGTAATTCGTCCTCAGGAGCCTTAGCAGTATAGTGCATTCCCACAGATAAGGGTGGTTCTCTTAGGTCCCCACCATCATATCCGCTGAATAGCAGTCACCACCCTCCCACCTTTGAATCTGCTAGACCCTGGCAAAATACTCTTTTTTGTTTTCAGAAAAAAATCTTTTATTATTGCTACGTGTTATATGGACAGTCTTTGCATTCACAAGCTAACTCAACGATACTCATGGTATGAACGACTACTTTCAGTCAGTCATTTTGTATGCATCGTCACTAACAGCATTTTAAAGATGTTTACGTACAATGAAAAAGTAAGGGAATCAGAGATTTGCAGGCTACTTTCAAGATTTTAGTTATAAGCATAGCAACGAAGAGGAAATATGAAATGTTACGAAGGAGAAAAATACATAAAGCTACATAGTTATGTATATATCTACATAGAAAGAAGGTAGTCAGTCATAAAAGATACTTCAGAAGAATACGACTACAGTGTTATTATAGCATAACAGTAAAATAAAATCCGTTGATACTTAGGATTCACAGTGTGGTTAAGAGACAGTAGTTAGTTATAATAGATAGTTCAGAAGAATACGACTACAGAGTGTTATGATGGCATAGCACAACAAGATAAGCCGTGTATAACGGCAGGATAAACGGAACAAAAAACGCGTACACGAACAGCTACGGAACTGCAATCCAACATGGCCGACTAACATGGACGAAAATGACCTTTGAGCGTCTCACTCCACCAATGACCTTGATAAGTTACGGATAATTTCAGCCATCGTTCAATCTTCAACTACATTGACAGATGGCAACATATAAAGTAATTTCGCTTGTTTTATTACGAATACTTTTGGATTATTTGGACACTTTTGTTATGTTTTACTTCATGAGTACACATTTTAGTGAACAAGGACTATTGTTCCACCACTACTTGGTCGTGCCTGTAAAAATGGCATGCATTCTCACGTAAATTTATGTGTTTATATGAAAATATGCATCATTATTATTCTTCAGGTTTTAAATTTATGTGTCAGCGCACGGTTTTTAGATAACTGATACTAACAACCTCTACTCATGAGTAGAGCTTTAGCTTCATTTGTGAAATTAGGAAAACTCAGTGTATATTGTGATAAAAAGCATCAAAGTGAAATCAAAGAGTTATAAATATGTTAGTGTTGGATGACTGGTACCAACACGGATTTCTCAAAAATAGATCCTGTGTTACTTGCCATTTTGACTTTTTCAACTGCATCACTAGTAGTCGCGAAGCACGTAGGCTAGTCGTTGTTCTCTACTTTGATATATCTAGGGAATTTGACATAGTATCTCACAGTATTCTCTATGAGAAACTGTACTCATGTGGAATTCGCAACCCATTACTGAACTGGTTAAAATCGTTTCTAAGCAACAGGGTACAAATAACCAAAGTTGGATCTGTATTGTCTCATCCTAAGTAGATCCCAAGAGGGGTTGTGCAAGGTAGTGTCCTAGGTCCACTTTTATTCATAGTCTACATTAATAGCATTTGCAAGTGCTTCACCTCAGGTAAACCATTCCTATATGCTGACGACCTCAAAATCGTCTACTCCTGCTACACTCATGAATTAAGCGATATGATTACTAAAATATATCTTGAACTAAGTAGTCTTGCAACATGGTGTGCTGAATCCTGTCTAAATTTTAACATTGACAAATGCGGCTGGATTTGTATCGGGAACAGTAACCTTGATCTAACTCTTGAAATAAATGGGCGAAAACTAGCTAAGCTCAACTCAGTCGTAGACCTCGGTATTAGATACTCTAGTAACCTAACGTTCGCAGAACAGACTGATTATGCCAGACGTAAAACCCGAAGGTTGCTAGGATGCATAACACGCAATTTCTTTTGTTGTGAAACTACGGTTTTATTATACAAAGTATGTGTCCGACCTATCTTAGAATACTGCCCATTTATTCTTAGCGGACTCAGACAAAATGACAAGCTTAAATTAGAGGGAGTGCAACAGCAGTTTACCTCAAGAACTCTTGGTTTAGAAAGTGGTCTGGAATACCATGAGCGATGCGAAAGACTAAGACTAGAACCCTTCTGGAAAAGACGCCTTAAGCTAAACCTTATCTTTTACTATAAGCTAACTAATCTTCTCTTGCATTCCTTCGAACCAATAACTAAATCTACCACTATCATCAGTTACAATCTTAGAAATCATCACAACCTAGCTGCTATTGAGCACTGTCAGACCTACGTGCGGTACAACTTCTTCTTAAATAAGTTTCCAGTCATTTGGAATAGACTACCAGCTAATGTGCGCGATGCAAACACACTTCCAGTGTTCATCTCCTCAGTCACCAGACTGCTCAAAGATGACAATGCACTTCTACGTCTGACTCTTACACCCTCTTTTTCACCCTACACGGATATTTTAAGTCCTTTAAACGTGTAGTTACAACAAACTACAATTATAAATTTTAATATTATTGGAACCAGATGATAAACATCTCTACACAGGACAGTAATATTAGTTCACACATAATACAAAAGTTAGCATGACGGGACTAGTTAGTTAGTGCACAAAAATGACCATAGTTACAAAACAGAATATATACGTATATATCTATTAATCACTGCTTAAGGACCCGTTTTTCTTTCTTTTGCTTTGCTGTTGTTTGTCTTCTTTTTTCTCTCACCATTTAAGCTTCCATTAGACTTTTTGAATGAGAATGATGTATGCAGATACTTGACCACTTACTATGACAAATGATCTGCAAACATTATTGGTCCCATATCTTTCAGTTGCCTAGTTAGTAACGAATTAACTTTCCTCACGACGCAACCTGGATTACATTTGTGGAATATACGCTTATACCAATGGAAAAGTATCAGTTTGTAATACAACGTCACGGTTGTAACTCATAACATAACTGATCGTATCTTTAAAAGTAGCCTTCATTTTTTGTAAACACCTGTTTATCAGAATATATATACTATCGTTATTATAACTCTACTTTGAGTACAATTCACTTGTGATGTTACGATGAAAATGCTGAAAAAACTATACAAGTCTATCATTTATTTTAAATCATTACCAAATTCCGATATAAATCAAGAATAAGATTCGGTTTTGTACACACCTAAGTTATATTAGGGAATTACATCAAGCTTTATTTTTTCCCAAGTATTTGTAATCCATCCAAAGCATACTTGAGTTTTTTTGTTGATGCGAAGACAATAATTCTGCATTTCTTGGTGTGCTCCATTGAATGACTAGTTGTCATATTCTTCCCACAAACCGAAGACAAAAACGTCAGCAACCATGTAATTTCACCATAAACCAAAATTTATGTAATTTAAATAATACTTATCCATGCCTGTAAACTTGGTGTGTTCTACACAGGTAGGAAAAAATATGTATTTATGTATATGTATGTATGTAAGATATTATTATTGAGTATGATTGTTAATCGTATATGAAATTTGTCATATTGATGATGCCTGTAAACTGGCGTCCCTCATGTACAAAACGAGAATTATTATCATTATTGTATCCTTTGATTCCTAGAGGAACGTAGATCTTCAGCTGCGCACCTCCATTGTCTTCTGTTTCCTGCCAACTTCTCCACCCCGCTCCAAGTCTGCCCATATGCTTTCATCTCCTCTTCACATGACCTCCTCCAAGTCACCCTTGGACGACCAACTCGCCGCTTCCTGTTGAGCGAAGTCAACTGTTAATGAAGGTCTGAAGTTTGTTTGAGATGCTCTCTATGACACGCAGTGCAATTGTCTGATCCGTATACCAACACTGACCAACTTCGCATTGGAGTTGAAAATCCGGATCTTACTTTTCATGCTGAGTACTGGTGACCTCCACGCAGACTTGAGAGTAATGAAAGCTTGTCTTGCTTTTCCGATCCTGGCTTTGATATCCTTGTCAGTTCCGCCTGTAGTTGCAATCATGCTTCCCAGATAGGTAAAGGAGGTTGTTTCTTTCAGGTTCCTCCCATTTATGCTGGCTGATTGTTGTCTGTTGCTGTTGTTGCTGTTGGTGTTGGCCAAGAATCTTCATCACCTCTGTTTTATCCATGTTCACTTGAAGTTCTATATTTGATGCTTCTTCTGCCAGACTGCTGCGTTTTACATCTCGCATATCTTCCAGTTTGTGGGAAATCAGACATATATCATCATCGGCGGAGTCCAGATCTTCCAAGTTCTTTTGTGTGAGTCCATTTTATGCCTGTTTCCTCGCTGCTCGTCACTGTCTGTCGCATTATCCAATCTACTGCAATCAGGAAAATCATTGGCGATAATACACAGCCTCTCCTCACTCCCGTCCTCACTTCGAAGGCTTCCGTAAGTTTCCCGTTGTGGATTACTTGGCATACAGCATTGTCGTATAGCTGTTGAATGAGATGTATAATTGTCGATGGCACCCCGTAGTAGCGAAGTAGTTGCCAAATCACCTCTCGATCGACGGTGTCTGGTGAAGGCCCCTTTTCAAAGTCGATGAAGTTGAGATAGACAGGTGACTTCCATTCCAAGCTTTGTTCAATGATGATCCGTAGAGTGGCGATTTGATCAATACATGACTTCTTTCTCCTGAATCCAGGTTGTTCCGGTCGAAGTTTTTCATCCAGGGCTTGTTTGATTCTCTCCAGGATGATGCGGCTTAGTATTTTGCTTGGGATGGACAGGAGCATAATTCCGCGCCAGTGTTTGCATTGACTTAAGTCTCCTTTCTTTGGCAGTTTGAATAAGTATCCTTTCTTCCAATCCTCGGGTACTTTGCCCTCTTTCCACACCTTCTCCAGTAGTGGTGTCATCAAGTTCGCTGTTGTCTCTGGGTCCATTTTCAATGCTTCTGCTGGGATTCCATCTGGTCCTGCTGCTTTTCCGGTTTTTAGCATCTTGATTGCATTCAGGACCTCTGATTTCGTCGGAGGGTCGATGTTCACGGGTAGTTCTGCCTCCGTTGTTGGTATTGTTGGGCGCGTTGTAGGTAGCGGTCGATTTAGAAGTCTTTCGAAGTGTTCAGCCTAGTGTCTTCTTTGTTCCACCTCTTTGGTGATTGATTTTTCATTGTCATCCTTTAGTGGCTTAATCTGTGTTGAACTTTTTCCCGATAGGTGTCTAGTTGTTTGGTAGAGTGTTGCTGCGAGATCTCCTCTGCCTGCAGCTTGTTCCGCTGCACTTGCCATGGTTTCATAATATTTTCTTTTGTCTTCTCTGGCACTCTTCTTCACTCTTTTGTTCAGTGTATTGTAGCTTGCGTTCGAATCCTGTTTTTGTTGCTCGTCAGTGCACTGGATTATCTTTTGTCTTACCATCCTTCTCTCTTCTATTAGTCTCCAAGTGTCCGTAGTGAGCCACTGTTTGTCCTGCCTCTTCTTTCTACCTAGAACTTCCATTCAGGTTAGGCTCCACATCGTTTTCAAGTTTTACCAGCGCTTTTCGACGCCGACCTCTTCGCTGGTGTTGATTTGTGTCTCGGCTTTGTCCCTTACGCTTGCAATGATGAGAATATATCAGTATTATTATTCAATCAAATTGAAATCAACACTGGGTTCGAAACAGAAAATGGATATTTTAAAAGACGAATAGCGTAAAACTGTCTTTAAGGAAGCAGGTGTGAAGCCAATATCTCATGTAGAGTGGTTATCAGGTTCTCCCACATAAGTCCAACCTACAAAGGAAAACAAATATTTTGACAGATGTGAATTTAGTTCCATTCCGTCCAAAACTACATCAATAGAGAGCTGTTATTCTAATTTCATATGTTAATTTTCGTAGAAGATAAAATATTTCATATATTTAATTAAAATTCACACTAGATTTCAACAATGTTGCAGCGGTAAATAATTCCCCAAAATTATTGACCATAGGAATCATCAGTGAACATTGGATACTTACCCTTAGTGTTTAAGTCGACTTGTTTAGCTGAAAGCTTCCGGTCGCCATTTGGTACCCGTCGTGCCACTTTCGTACACGATCACTATCCAGCTTATCTTCCGCTTCAGTCCACGATTTGGTCTGAAATATATCTCGTAATTTGGAAAATCAACTCTAGTCGTATGCTTTGCCTTTGGCAGATGAGAAACGAATACTATAGAAGTTGTTGGTATAGGATCTTGTGTTAGTATATTCCGTACGAATCGCGAACGTCAATACCGTCAACCTCTAAAATATCTTTTACCTTACATGTTATCCAGCTTCACCGAAAGAAATTATTTCCTGATATTAAGATGTCGTGACTTACCATTTCTCCAACACAGGTTTAAACCACTTTCCTTACTTTTGAAGTAAACGGGAGAACTGTGACTAGCAGTGGAATCCAGGATGTGTATTTTTCCGTATTTGAGACTCATCATCTGGACGTGTTTGAATTTCTCAGCGAGAGATGGTGTACCTACTGGGGCTGGATCCCATCGCATCAAACTGTAGAGTATTATCCACTAGACCATTTGGTCCACGACAGCCACCCTTTGTACAACGGGTATTAATTATTGTTTAATTCAATTTCGACTTTCTCGTTGAGTGATTGGACGGAAGTGGTTGGCCTCAGGTTGATACGTCGGCTCCTTATGCAGACGCTTCGAAGACGTCTGATTACTTAACCTGAAATGAGAACACCATCACTCACTCACTAGGGAATGCAGATACAGCCAGTGAACGAGTTTTAAATAGGGCGAAATCTGCATCATGTATTGCACTGTTAGTCACCATTCACTGATCCAACCCAAGCTAATTAATCAGACACCATCGAAGTATGTGTATGAGGAACCGACATGTTCACCTGAGGCCTAGCCCTTTGGTTAAATCAATCAAGGGGAAAGTCCAAATTTAATTAAACATTTTTTTACATTTTCAGGTTCGTGTGGCTGATAAGTGCCATCAAGCGAAAATTTCGATTCATTTAGAAGTTCTTTCCGATCAGCTTATACCAACAAATATTTCCCCTTTCTGACAGGGTGAGGGTTTAAAAATGTTTGACACTAGCATTTGTCCTTGTTTCTGTTGATTCCTGTTTTTGATGCTTCACTTTTCAGTTGTACGATGGAGTTGACAATAATATGTTATTCAATATTTTGGAGTGAACCTTATGACTACTTCCATCGCACGTTACACGAATTCCAATAATGTCTGCTCAGATGAATGGTTTAAGACAAGTAGAATGGTATATATGAGGAAATGGATAGGTAGACCGCGGATGATATATGCCTCTACTATCGTAAAGCGTTTGGAAGGAGAGAAAGTTACCTACTGATAGAAAGGAAACTTCTTTGTCAAACTACAAAATGAAGGAGGCATTAGGCGTCTTCAAGAACTAGCGCAGAATCATGCTACTTTCCACACCAAGCAAATTATTAGGTTGTGTAGTCCTGGAGAGAATAAAAGATGCACTGGATGGAGAACTTCTCCTGCTGCAAGAAGCTGGATTCAGGA